GAGAGAGAGAGAGAGAGAGAGAGAGAGAGAGAGAGAGAGAGAGAGAGAGAGAGACGCACACTTGCAAAATCCTGTCAACTCTCTCGCTGCATCCTGTCCTGTAGGTCCGTCAGGATCTGTCACGAGATCCGCGTGGTCGTCGGACGGATCGGGTCGTGCGACTTGAACTGAACGCGAACGATCGGTAATTTAAGCGATTGATAGATGAGGCGAATATTTCGCGATACATGCGACTCACTCGCATTGTCGCACTTCTTATCGTGTTGAGGCTCTTACGAGAAGGAGAGATAAATTAAACGCTGCTCTTGACGAGATTTATGCCGTGAGATATGTAGAGAAACCGACTGTAAAGGGTTAAATGTTCCTCAGATTAGATCCACACGTGAGAATAGTGTTCGGGTGTGTAATTCGCGTTAGTCACGAACCCGCAATTTGTCGTCGCGTTATAATCAGATGACAACAGGGAGGGAATGTCGTGCAATTTTTGCTCGACAACGTTGCTGCCTTTGGATCTGTCGCGACGATTATTCTCTCTCGGGCTTTTGCGAATCTCTATGCCATTTTTTCTTCCTGCCATTGTGATCTTTCATCGTAAACCTTCGCAATTTTCGTATTTCTAAGAGAGAGAGAGAGAGAGAGAGAGAGAGAGAGAAAGGTGAAAGGAAACGTCGGAAAGGAAACCTAAACGCGCGAGTCCTCCGCCAACGCCTAGAACTCGGTTCTGCTCGAGGAAGATAAGACCAAAGTTTCGAAAACGCGCTTATTCCCCGCGATTTCGGCAATATCTCGCGCGACTCGGACTTGGACCGAGTTCGGCGACGTGACGACCCGTGACCAATATCTCACTCTGTCATTCCGCACCTATTCCCCCCGATCAGCCTCGTAAAGCGTCGAGTCTCGACGGGACTGCTTAATAGATAATACCCGAGAGCGCGCAGTAAGATGATGTCGAGAACACATTCCAGTAGAGTATGTATGCCACCAGAAATGCTGACTCACTAAAAGGGAGCTGTATTGTTTTTGCCCTTAGATGGGCCGGCCATTGTCCGGGTAAACCTGTTTGTGCGAAGCATTGCGACAATTAGTGACATCAAGATGGTAAGTATACGCTATAACACACAATCAAACCAAAGCCTTTAACTAACCGCAACCGGCGCAACGCCGTTTCTCTCTTGCCGGCGGGTTCTCCCTTTCTTTATTTGTCTGTCACTTGCAAAAACGCAGTAGGCGCAAAAGTAGGTTTAGGGTCTTGGTCTCGAAACGAGAGTACAAAATCCGAGAGAGTGAGTGGGGGAGGGGAGAGAGGATGTGAGTGAGTGAAAAAGAGCGAGTGGCTGGCCCCAGAGTGGCAACCGGATGGCGACGGGCGAACGTGAGCTCGATAGACCTCGGAGAGAGACCAGGCTGGCAAAAGCGGTAGTAACACACGCAACGTAGAGAGCAGCAACGTAGCAGAGTGCCGGTCAGCATCTTGCCCTCCTTTGCCCACACTCTTTTGTCCTCTAGCCTCCATAGCCCTCACCTCGCCTCGCCTCGGCGTTACTAGCCATCGCTAGCCTCTTCTCGAGGCAACCGCATCCACACACAAACAAACCACCACCCCATCACTTCTACTATTACTACGACTTTATCACTGCTACTACTATTACTACTACTATTACTACTACTACAATTACTACTTACTACTACTACTACTACTACTACTACTACTACTACTACCACCATCACCCTACCTGTGACTAAACGCCCGAGACCCACCCTACCAAACTCTAACACTCTAGCATAGACGCAGGCATGTAGCATTTCAGCTTATACATTTGCGTATGTTAGTACGTCGCATTGGAGAAAGACCATCGGAGACGCTGCGGCGGAGTGTGAGGGTTAAATGAAAGAGTGAAACACCGGAGCGTGTTTTCGGGGGTGTGCGGACGGGGAGAATCGAGGGTATGATTACACTCGGACCTTTGTGTCCGGCGGGTCATTATTTAGAGTCGACCTAATAATACGCGCTCGGGCGCGTTAATCCTCAACCGCTACGTATTTTCTCGACACCTGACGTGAGGTAATTATTGTCCACGATATATGAGGGTATGGCAAAGAGGTCAGAGTTCGACCCTTCCGAGAACGTAATCTTATTTTTCTCGTTATACCGCCAGGGCGGTGTATCGAGTGTTCCGAGTGTAACGCGACACCGAGACGACACGAGAGGGAGAGAGGCTCTTCCGGTATCCATATCTGGAGGACATCCGAGAAACGTGTAAGAGCCTTTAGGGCGTCCCGGGCGAACGATTTTTTGGGCTTCTACGCGAAGGAGGTCGCGGGGAGCTCGCGGGAAGCTTCGTATCCCCAACAGACACTTTCCTCTCGCAATGCTCGCTCAGTGGACGCTCAGCGCGATTTCGCGAAGGGACGATCGGCCGGCCCGTTGCGCCCTGTAGAGAGAGAAATCGACAGAGCGAAATTTATGTTCCACGTAGGTAACGAGATTACACGTACTAACAGCCGCCGCTCTGTAGAGCCGCCGGAAATGCACGTCGAAGAGAAGTTACGCGTTCCGGCACTCCCGCACGTTCCGTACGAAGAACGTGCTAGGCTTACCATCAAGCCACGGACCTTCTTCGTGTGCACTTGTTACGCCGTATGAAACGCTCCTCGCTCTTCGCTGATCGAAGAGCGATGTCGCGAGGAGGTGACCGATCGATCGATCCGCTGTATTATACAGGATGTGCCGACGATGTCTGCGGTTTGAATTACGGCCGCCGATTCGGAGAACCGATTGTGAGTATCTTCGATTGCGGCACAAATGACAAGATCTTACAATTAAACGGCGGAGAGACGAGCAATTGTCCTGTATGACGCAGCCCCGGTCGCGTCTCGTGGCAACTCAATCGCTCCTTTGCATATTACACGAATATAATGAGATTTCACAAATGTCGATCCGCGGAGAAGTTATTCCGTCCAATTCCGAGAAAGAAGAGGCCGCAACGCCGTCCGGGTACGGACGAGTCAATCCACTTTATGCCAATTGCTTCTCGACGGCAGGGAATTTATCACTCGAACTTGAGGACGCTGAAATTCCACCGGGTTTCGAAACTTTGTCTCAATGGGTATCCGATACCGCGAGAGTATTGACACCTTACGCTCGATACTTTCGAGAGGAGGCAAGGGGGGCAAGGGATAGTAATTGAGGAAAAGTTTCCGCGACCATGTGTCGACTGAATCGCAGTCGATATGCGACTGTGATTAATATGTATTTTAAGAAGAAAAAATATACAAGATCACTTTGTTCCATGTTTTACGCGATTATTTTTCCACGTTGCACGGAATAAAAAGAGAGTGGCTGTGTCAACCAAAAATAAAAATAGTAAAATATGGCAGAGCTTTTCTTTCTGGTTTCAAGAATTAATTTTTGATTGCGCTGACCTACCGATTCGTTGTCTCAAAAACACATTAGAATCGCAATGCCGATGTACAATGTCGCACAGGTTAACGACCAGATAGCACAACGAATTCTTAAAGTATTCTTGAAATTTTTTCCTCTCCTGAATTGCAGTTCTTTAAGAATTCGTAGAAGGATAGTATAAAAATAATTCAGGAAGTTACATACACCACGATTGGAATATCTGAGAACTCCTTGAGGCTAATGCTTAAGAACAGAGAGAAAACTACAAAATATTCGACAAATATCATCTAACAGCAACGTTACACCAATATTATAATTTTCCACTCATATGTTGAATATTGAAATAGTCTGAGAACACTATAATATTTTATCAAAAAGAAATATTGGCAACTGAGATTTGCGAATATATTACGTACGTTCCTGTCCCTTCGTGATTTCGATCCCGATGGTCGGTCACATTCGTCTCCTAGTCGTCCTGGTCGGCGTTACTTGACCAAAGATCGCGCGGCAGGCAATCATCCCAATGGCTTCGACGATATTCTTGGGATTTATGTCTATATAATGTATACATATATATATGTATACATTTATATAATAGCAATAGTAAGGCAATAGCGTACGTTATATTGTTGAGTGGAGAATTACAATATTAACGTAATATTATTGTTATTTGGTGCTTACTAAGTAACTTTTCTTTTCCAGGTGAAATAGTAAAAATAATTAAAATAGTATCAGTTTTCGGCCGCTTAGAAGAACGGAAAAATGAAAAATTGAAGGTGAATTCTATAGAAAAGAATCACCATTATATTCTAAGATTACAAGTTAGCAACTTATAAAAACATATGAGCTTGGTTCAATTATACTCAAATTATACTCAATTCAAATGTGTTCGAGTGTTTCGTTTTCCTGTTTATTTTCTCTTTATTATATCGAGATGTTTATTTATGGAGAAAATAATTATTCTAATTATAATTACAGCCCAGCAAACACCAAGTAACAATTACATAATTGCTTTATAATTATAATTTCCCACTCAACAATGTAAATGTAATATAGTGCGTATGCATATAACGTATGTTATATAACACTCACATTATTAAATGGAAAATTATAACTAACAATTATGTAACTGTTTACTTGGTGTCTGTTGAGAGCAAACCTAAAACAATGAAAGCATTTGCTGAACGCAGTCACAGAAAGTAATTGTAATAAATAAAACATTTGTAATTCTACAATTAATTCCTTATAAATTTTCAGAATACTCGAAGTACTTAGTCGCGAAGTATTCGTTATAATGAACTTTTCAGGAATATTTCAAGGCGGAATGATTATGATTAATTCGTCAAGAATTCTCCAGAAATAAATATCTATTTTTCTAATTCCTTAAGTGTTCTTTAAAATGAATTCTCTATGAACTTTTATTCATCTCTGTGCTATTTGGGCGTAACTAAGAATTGATTACCGAAGCCCCAAAAATAAAAGCTATACCATATTTTACCATTTTCTGGTTGACACAACTATTCTTTTTTTTTTCGTGTGGTAACAGATATGTGAAAATTTTCTCGTGTGTGTGAAATATAAAATCCATTCCCACGAGATAAAACTTATCTCTGCGAAATGAAATTTGTCTCCGCGAATCAACATTGTACATCGTCCAAAGAGTGCAGCCAAATAGCTACGGGCGATACTCCCCAATTTCTTCGATTTTCCAATTAATTTTGTCGTAAAACCAAAAGATAATCACGAGATTACAAATGCATAAGCTTCAGAGTGCACCCGGCCGTTTTGTCGTTTTATGTTATATTTATCGCCTCGGAGCATAGCCACTGCCATTCTCAACTACTTTACATAATAAATTGCATTTATTATTTCTTCTTGGTGACGCACATCAGTCGCACTTGAAACTTTCAAAAGGGTACACTTTGAAACTTGTATATATTTGCAATCTGCTCGTGATTATCTTTCGTTTTACAAGAGAATTAATTGAGAAATCGAATTAGGGAGCATCTTGGCCGCACTCTTTTCCAGTATTTCTCTCCTGGTGAACGCGCTTCGCGATTTCCTTTCCCGACGAAGCCTTCGTCGTGTGACACCGCGCCGTGACATTTTTGAGCACGCTCGTAACGCTCGCGACGTTCTTCTCGCTTCCGGAAGATCTCGAATTTCAAGCTCGTGTGGTCGAAGGGCGAGCGCGATCGCGCGCGGTATCAACGATGCTGGGATCGCCGGCAACCATTGCGTGTCCGACGTCTTGTCCTGGTTCATGTAGGGCGGAATAGTACGCAAACACTCTGTATGGCTCAGGACGATACGGCTGGCTCGTTTATGCTACGGACAGTAAGACTCCGGATGATGGTGACGTGACGGGGCGGGCGTCGACGCCGACGTTCGCGTTTAATCGCCAAACGCTGACAATGACGCTGCTAAAGCTTAATCGCCCTTCCGGTGGCTGTCGACAGCCCGTCGACAACGTTCTCGCGCCGCCTGTTCGCGAACGCGATCGGAATAAGACGCAATCTAATCCACCTCGCCGGCTCACGCAGATGGTTTCGCGTATAAATGTCCGAGTGCGTAAGTGTTGGGAGGACAGGTGACTTATTAATCGCCGTCGACAAGAGGCGCGTTTGTTTTGGGCGCTTACACGCTTTAAATACTTATAAGCGCTACTCACGGCGTTTACTTTGGCACTCACAGA